AGTAGTCATCACTTGAGTGAAGATACATGTTGAAGATGTCCGAGTAGAATTCTTGAAAATTGGAAAACCACTTGTTGTAATAATATAACACGGCATCATAGTTGATAATGCATGCCGAGATGTCGAAGCTCCTGTAGACGTCATGGCTGGTGAAATAGCAAAACTTGCGAAGTAGCGGCAATTGAGTTTGCCGATACCGAAGATAATAAAGATTAAGTCGCTCCACCATGGTGACAAAGTTGCAAAGCTGTGATGAAGTGAACACGAGGCAGCGGCAACAGAAGAAAACGATGAAGTGAACACGAGTCAGCGGCAACAGAAGAAAACCGGTGGCGAAGACGTGTAGTTGTGAAGATAGATACTCCAGTCGGCGGCGGCATAACCAGTCGGTGACGGAAGACGATGATGTCCATCAGTAGTGGTAGCGGTATAAACCATACGTAGAGGCGAGGGCACTAGTCAGCAACAGACGAGACGACCGGCGATGAAGACGATAAGGCCAATCAACACTGGCAGAATCATGCAGCCATGGGAGTGAAGAAACCAGTCGGCAGCAGACGTAGATAGCTTGTGTTGAAGATGATGACGCCTATTAGCGGCGACGACGACGTAGCCAGCCATGAAGAAGATAGCATCAGTTGGCGTCATAACAGGCCAGCCGTGCAGGCGGAAAAACCAGTTGGCGGTGGACGAGACGGCCGGTCGGTGAAGAGGTAGACGCCCAACAACGGCGGCATAATAGGCTAGCCGTGCAGGCGGAAACACCAGTCGGCGGCGGATGAGGCGGCCGGTCGGTGAAGATGTAGACGCCCAACAACGACGGCATAATAGGCCAGCCGTGCAGGCGGAAACACAAGTCGGCGGCGGATGAGGCGGCCGGTCGGTGAAGATGTAGACGCCCAACAACGGCGGCATAATAGGCCAGCCGTGCAGGCGGAAACACCAGTCGGTGGCGGACGAGGCGGCCGGTCGGTGAAGATGTAGACGCCCAACAACGGCGGCATAATAGGCCAACTGTGCAGGCGGTGACACCAGTTGACGGTGGACGAGGCAGCTGGTCGGTGAAGATGTAGATGCCCAACAACAGCGGCATAATAGGCCAGCTGTGCAGGCGGTGACAACAGTCGGCGGCGGCGAAAGCAAACCGGCGGTGAAGATGTAGACGCCTAACAACGGTGTTGTGACCAACCAACCGTATAGGCGAAGACACCAGCCGGCGGCGACGACGGCGAGCCGGTGGTGATGTTCTGACTGATCCATTCCTAGAGCGTAAGAGATAAGCTTAAAGCCATGAATCCGTTTTATGCATATCTGGATTTGGATCCTGCAGAACAAACATATAGGATGAGTAGTATCTGATGTAAATATAATACTCGAGAAAAATACAAGTATTTTAAAATGTTTATAAATATGTATTTCTCCTCTTGTCAATTTTGATTTCCCCGAGCAGATGACTCCTTACGTTTAAACACTCTGCCCAACTAGTCATAGCCCCCAAGCACCAGGAGTTGGCCTAGGCACTTCCCAAACATGCATATGAGTGACATGAGTTCGTCATTAATGGAACAAAGTTTCACGAATCAGAATTTACTACTCGGGTACTTTTGCAATTGTAAAGAGCAGAAAATAAATTTATCTTATCTCCATGCTTTTGATTTATTCTGATTAATACTTAGCACATTGCGTTACTCGGTCCATCTAACGAGCCCCCGGGTGCTAGGAATCGGCCCAAAGGCAACTATCCATCGACAAACCAAACGGAAAGCATAGGAAGATAGAACTGCATAACTCGATAGGCACTTTTGTACTCAGATTATGTCGCAAGCAATCAAGATAAATATTATGAAAAATTGTTTAAAAAATATGATATAACATATGTAGCCCCCGACTCACTAGTCAACGGCGAACCAGTTGATGTAGTGAGGCAGAGGAAAAGAAAAATATCATATAAAGAAGAAAATTAATTATGACTTAGCTTTCTGGTCTTTCCCTTGGTGACGACCGAGGTGGCCGATGTGGGAATAAAGTCGTCCATCAATAGCAATGAAAACACCAGCCATAGAAGCAGCTTGAGGCAACTGACGATGAAAGTGAAGACGCCCATCAACGGCGGCATAATAGGCCAGCAGTGCAGGCAGAAACACCAGTCGGCAGCGGCGAAGGCTAGCTGGTCGGTGAAGACGTGGACGCCCATGAACGGTGGTGTGACCAACCAACTGTATAGGCGAGGATACCAGTCGGCGGCGGCGAAGGCCAGCCGGCGGTGAAGTCGTAGACGCCCAACAGCGGCGGCATAATAGGCCAGCAATGCAGACGGAAACACCAGTCGGTGGTGGCGAAGGCCAGTCGGTCGGTGAAGACGTGGATGCCCGTGAACGTGGTGTGACCAACCAACTGTATAGACGAGGATACCAGTCGGCGGCGGCGAAGGCTAGCCGGTCGGTAAAGTCGTAGACGCCCAACAGCGGCAGCATAATAGGCCAGCAGTGCAGGCGGAAACACCAGTAGGTGGCGGCGAAGGCCAGCCGGTCGGTGAAGTCGTAGACGCCCAACAGCGGCAGCATAATAGGCCAGCAGTGCAGGCGGAAACACCAGTCGGCGGCGGCGAAGGCCAGCCGGTCGGTGAAGTCGTAGATGCCCAACAGCGGCGGCATAATAGGCCAGCAATGCAGGCGGAAACACCAGTCGGCGGCGGCGAAGGCCAGCCGGTCGGTGAAGACGTGGACGCCCGTGAATTGTGGTGTAACCAACTAACCGTATAGGCGAGGACAGCAGTCGGCGGCGGCGAAGGCCAGCCGGCGGTGAAGTCGTAGACACCCAACATCGGCGGCATAATAGGCCAGCCGTGCAGGCGAGGGCACCAATCGGTAGCAGACGAGGTGGCCGGTCGGTGAAGATGTTAGTCGGCAACAGCAAAGGTAGCCGACACGGGTACATACAAAATAAATCAATGAACAAAATAAATCAATGAACAGAACATCTGCTTAGTACCACATAAAAAAATATAGGTATAAAGAAGCTTGTGCATGTATGTTTGCATATATCAATGCATATACATGGCTTGCATATATTGCTTAATTAGCCAACTAATCTCTAGTGGCATGAACGCTAGACGTACACATCCACACATCACCCGACAGGTCCTGCCATGCGCTCTGTATATGCGCTCGTACAGATCGCAGGTCCGAGTCTAGATCAAATCCCCGTCAGAAGCTTCTTGTGATGGGGATCGGACACGTTCGACCGGGGGTGCATGCAAAATAATAAACCACATATCAAATAGAGATTAGTAGCATAAACAAATAAAAAAGTATAGATGATTATGGATGTTAATCGATGCATGTATGTTTGCATGTAGATCGATTTGTAGAAGAAGTAGGTGTCAGCCAGCTTGCCAGGAAAAGCATTGATATATTCAAACATATGCTTTACGATCTCTATGCATAGCATTATTAGGTAAATTGTGCATCTTCTCCATAGCTTGCATGCATGCCGCCATGAACGTTCCAGTGGGCATGTGCCTGTTTGATTCGTAAATCAACAAATGCACGAATTTGCTCCTGGTCGTCGGGTGTTCCTATGCCGAACCTGCGGCATCTCCATCTGCAAGGAAAGGAGCACTCGGACACGGCTAGGCGCCAAAGTAGGCGAGGCGATGGCTGTGTCTCAATTTCAGCCAGAACGTGAAAATAATAAAAATAACAGTAGATTAAAAAATCAATCTAATAAAAATAAGATTGGAACGACAAACCCGATTGAAGATTAGAGCCACTGAAATCAATAAGATTGATCTTGGCGTTTCTTCTGAAGTTGATTCCATCGCACTTTTCAACGGGTAATTCGACACAATCCCTACCTGGCGCGCCAACTGTCGAAACATGAATTCGGCAATAATAAAATGGGGTAGCGCACGAGACCTAAAAGTGGATGGATGCGGAGACAAAGGATTTAGACAGGTTCAGGCCCTCTCAATCATATGTACTCATGCCCCCTAGAGGGCCTCCTGCTCACCTTATATAGGATGGGGGCAGGATTACAAGATAGAAACCTTAATCAATACGGCATCGGTTTCCTAAATCTATTTTACAATATTATCAAATCAGGACTTTAGGCCGCTCCATAATATAAAAGGAAACGTAATACCTAAGTCATGATTTGTTACATATTCTATAGATATAAGCTATTCTTATGACTAGTCGGATAACCATGCCGTGTGGGTATGGGGTACCCATAATCTCCACATGGATGACATTAGCTAGATGGGTTATCCCAATTATTGTACTAATCATTATGATGAATAAGAGCAACACCGACTTCGGCCAATAGGAGTAGGGCTATTACCTATCAATAAGGGGCCCGAACCTATATAAAAATCCCTGTCTCTATCTCTTTTACCTCAATCTTGCATATACCCTGGTACCGAAGATCTACATACCATCCAAATACCCTAGTTGTGACCTCAAACGTCGACACATTGTTTCCCAAATATACTGCCGCAACGCGCGGGGTATCATCTAGTTCAATTGATGAGACAGCCAGTGCATGTGGCAATCCGGCAATATGCAAAGGAAGGATAGTGAGGGCTTGTTTAGATCCCCTAGCGAAATTTTACACTCTGTCATATTGAATGTTTGGACACATGCATAGAGTATTAAATATAAACGAAAAAAATAACTAATTACAGAGATTGCGTGTAAATTACAAAACAAATCTTTTAAGCCTAATTGCGTCATGATTTGACAATGTGGTGCTACAGTAAATATTTGCTAATGATGGATTAATTAGGCTTAATAAATTCGTCTCGCGGTTTACTAACGAATACCGTAATTAGTTTTATTATTAGATGATGTTTAATTCAAATGTGTATATGTGACAGGCACCCTGGATCTAAACAGAGCCGGACTTAATCTATGAGAGGACGAGAATTGCATGCATGCAACAGTACAGAGAGAGAGGGAGAGAGCCTAGCTAGCTACCATGCATGCACCGCATGATCCATATAATAAAGAGAATGAGATACTCGATCGTATATACCAGGAAAGATAGGCCGGCCGAATATATATAGCTAGCTAGCTAGCTAATAGAGTAGTAACAAACTAGTCATCGGAATCAGAGGAGCTGGAGCTGCTATTGTTTCGGCTGAGCGCGGCGGCCCTCCGATCTTGGATCTGCTGGCGTGGGTCGCGGAAGGACGACTGGGAGGATTGCCTGCTCCTTGGCGCCGGCGTGGGCTGCTGCTGCTTCTTGGCCTTGGCGTTGGCGGCCGCCTGCTCCTTCACCTCCCTGCACACCTTGTCGAGAATGCCGAGGAAGTCGCGCACGACGACGAAGAGGCGTAGGCCTTCGTCCTTGCCGGTGCTGCCGTGGAAGTAGTCGACGGTGGCGCGCACCAGGGAGCGCAGCCTCTTCTCATCCTCCAGCAGCCGGGTCACCTGCTCCTGCGACTGCTGCACGAAGGAGGCCAGCCGGCGTTGGAAGCCGCTGTCCTCCTCCAGGCTGCGCATGCCCGTGCTCAGGAACTCGTTGGCCTTAACCAGCCGGTGCCCCAGGCTGGCCACCGTGATGGTCAGCGCGTCCGCGTCGAAGCTCGCCGCCTTGCGCACGTTCTGCAGGTCGTCGCCCAGGCTGGACACCACGCCCAGCCCCAGCTGCCTGTACCGCTCCGTCTCGTCCTGCTCCTGCTCCAACGACGATGCGTCCACGCTGCTTCTGCCGCTGTTGCTGCCGATGCTGCTCTGGCTCTGGAGGAGGATCAGGTCGTCCGAGGAGGAGATGGAGCTGATGCTGCTCCCCCCGCCGCCGCCGCTTGCTGCCCTGGCGGCGCGGACGCCCTCGGACCGGATGATCTCCTGCACCACGAAGTGGAGCAGCGTCGTCTTGCCGTCCACGCCCTTGACGTCCGCCAGCTTGAGGAGGGTGTCCAGCTTGAAGGCCTGGGCGCCCCCGCGGAAGGTGCCGTCGTTCATGCGGTTCCCGGTCTTGAGCACGGCCTCCAGAAGCTTCTTGAAGAGGCGGCTGCCGCGGAGCTCCTCGCACGCGACCTCCAGGGTGGCGAAGGACTGCTCCACGGCGGCGGCCTCCTCCGGGAGAGCGGCCATGAAGAGGAGAGCGTCCAGGCGCTGGTAGAGGTAGGGGACGTCGATGATGGCGCGCATGAACTGCTCGGCGGGGCCCAGCTGCGCGGGCTCCCCGGCGTAGAGACGCAGACGCAGCTCCTCGTCGCTCGTGGGGCTCCACCGCACCAGAGTCTGGATCAGATCCGGAGGCAGATCGTGCCCTGCATTAATTGCATATATGTATGTATGTTCAAGTTCAAGTTCAAATTCAAATTCAATCCACCAAAAACTAGTGCGTACCTTCCATCACTGCAGCACGCACTTGTTCGGCTGAAACGCTGAGTGCCTTGAGTGATATTGCCAGATTCTGAGCCTTCTTGGGGTCCAGGATCCTAACGAACTGCGTCGCTTCCTTGCCGGACTCCTTCTTCGCATCGGTGCTCTTCTTCTCAGTGGACTGAGCCCCAAACAAGCTCTCGATCATCTCCTCGTTAAACCTATAAGTATATATACGTACAGTTAGATTAATTAATTACTAGTATAATATATATATATATATATATATATATATATATATTGAGAAGACCGACCGACCGACGAAAGTAATTAATATATGCTAGCTTACTGAAATGATCCCGCTTTGATCTGATCCCACACCATGGCTTGGTTTGGATTGGCAGTAACTTTGTCCCAGAAGAAGGGCTTAAGCTTCGCCTTGTTTGGGTCCGCTTGTGCAGCTGCCGCAGCCGCCCCCGGCGACTTCTTGAATGGCGGGGGACCACGTGCTCTCGGACCACCAGGCAGCGCCGGCGGTGGAGGTCCGCCACCTCCTCTGCCAGCAGCTCCCGGTGGCGGTGGAGGACCAGGACCAGGACCAGGAGGCCTCGGAGCAGCAGGAGCAGCGGGAGGAGGTGGAGGCGGTGGCCCAGAACCAGCCCCAGCTGCTGATGGTGATGGAGCAGGAGGAGGAGGAGCAGGAGCAGCGGGATGAGCAGGCGGAGGAGGAGGAGCGCCAGTGCCAGCGCCAGCGCCAGCGCCAGGAGGAAGTGGATGAGGTGGTGGTGGATGATGGCCGTGATGATGATGGTGAGAAGGAGGAAGAGGAGGAGGAGCCGGAGGCGGAGGACCTGCAGGTGGTGGCGGCGCTGCAGGTACCTGCCCTCCTCCTGCAGAAGCAACAGCAGCAGCAGCAGCAGAAGGTGCTATCGTTGACACCTTATTCTCGACGCGTCCAGCTCCGGCGATGGTGGTTATCTCGTGCGAGCTCATCCGCATGGCCTGCGATTGCATCGACACCTTGTTCATCGACATGGATCCTACACCAGCTGGCTTCCTTAAATTATAGTTTGTGGTGTTGTGATCACCAGCACCAGCGCCACCATGCAAGTGCTGCTCGCACTCCGCCGTCAACGCTCCCAGCCTGCTCACGTCGATCGTGGTGGCGCACGACTTCCGAGACGGACCGTCGCTCAGGTTCAGGCTCAGCAGCGGCTTCTCATCCCGTAGATCGTACGGCGACGACGAAGACTCTGAGTCACGACATGCGCAAAAGCAGATGCCAACCAGGGTAACCAATGCTACGCACGCCGCTGACAATCCAACCACCACCATACCACTACTGTCATCATCCTTCTTCTTTTTCGCTCCATGTTTCTCCTTCTTTATAACCGCCACCAACGGTCGATCACCGCCCATCTTCACTTCACTCATCCTGCCCGCCCCCGCCTGTCTTCTAACTTCTTCACCCATCATCCTCCTCCTACCATCATCATCCCCCCATAACTCCATCTCATTCACCTGTACCTGCCATACGTGCAATAATGATGCATCATATCATAATTAACTAAACAACACATATATCCATATATATAGGCATATATAGCTAGTGAAGTGATAAAATTAAATATATGAGTACATATATTATGCTAATTTATAAGTTTTCAGAAAATGACTGGTAAAAGGCTTTGTTTACATATATCGTACCTTTTCCTGCTCCATAAGCTAGCTAGTTATCAGAGTGGTTTCTCAAAAAAAAAGTTATCAAAGTGGTGCTATATACTTTAATTCATTTATATTAATTTGGCCAGCTACTTTGTTATATATATTTAAGTGCTACTACATTTCCATATATGTGATAAAAAATTTAAATTAGAATTTTCCCTTTTGCTTGGTTCGCGTGCATGTAGCCAGATTACACCGTTTATATATATATATATATATATATATATATATATATATATATCTTTAATTTCCTATTAAATGAGAGAGTATATATCCTAGTATATATGCAAATAACCATCGATTATTTACATAAGTTCAGAACTCTTTGAAATCATTGATTCTATATATACATGCATGCATGTTGATAATTCTGTGGCTAACTAAAAGTCAAAATTAAAATTCAACCAGACAACAACAAGAGGAATACGATCTAATTGCAACAAAATGAAAAGGTATATATGCATTATATATATTAATTATTGGTTCTTACCGATTCTTCTTCCAATAGATCAGGCAGATGATGCAGCGGTGAAGATGTTGACCAGAATAGGTGATTCCTGATGGCTCCAACGAGCTGCAAACCCTCCAAGTCTTTGGGTGTGAGGAGTAGCAAACAAACCAAGAAGGCCATGATCAACCATCTCAGCTTACTCATCGTGGCCTATATATATGATGAATATATATGATTTCCAATCTTTCCGACTGTTGCTCATAGATCAGCTTGCATTGTTCGATCACCTCCTCTTTGCCAACGCTGATAATTGATCAGAATTGTTCAAGTTTCAGCGGTGTATCTTGAGGCAAATCGATCTTTTGGCCAAAGTGTTGCTTGAATCGATCTGACGCTGCCTCTTCATGTCCCATGTAGATTGGTTTACGCTGGAATGTTGAGAATGAACAGAAAGAGTAATCGGGGAAACGGGGAGGTATCACAAGAAAACAAAATGAGAGATTTTCTCTGCACCATCGCTAGCTGATCCCACTATTTGATCGAACACAGGTAGTAGAAATAACAGAAACTGATATATATGGTCAGCTCAAACGACTTCAAAAATTAAACAGAAGAAAAACAAATCCAACTATCAACAGCATCAAATCAAAACGCCAATCCAGCTAAAAGAATGAGGAAGAGTACGTGATCAATTTTTTTACTGCCCTAGTTTTTTGATCATTGCTCTGGTACCTACATATCTATTTTTAGAAATTGCTCAAGTGGTTTATGTGTGAAAGGAGAGTGGGAGGGAGGATGCCTTAGACCAACAGGTGTATCGCCATCTATTTTTGGGAAATGTGCATGGCCTATGTACAAAGGAAAGAGGAGGTCCCCCTCAATACTAGGAGCAGAGCCACCATGAAAAAAGCGTCATGCCCAATAGGGCCACATCAGCCTACTCTTAATCTGCCTCTCAAACCAAAGTATTTGAAGGATATTCTCAAGAAGTTTGGGACAAGGATGCAAAACCCATCAAGACCCCTATGTCTACCAATGGACATCTTGACCTTGATGAAAAATGACAAAAGTGTGGATCAAAAGGTATACCGCTCCATGATTGGATCCTCATTTTACCTTTTGTGTATCTAGACCTGATATCATGCTTAGTGTGTGCATGTGTGCTTGCTTTCAAACGATACTTAAGGAATGTCATTTGATTGCCGTTAAGAGAATCCTTCAGTATTTTGTTCATACTCCTAATCTTGGCTTGTGATATCCTAAGGGTTGTGCCTAATCATGCCTCTATCTCTGACTCCAACTATGTCGGTTGTAAGGTTGACCACAAAAGCATTATTGGGTCAAGTCAATTTCTTGGGCAGTTCCTTGTTTTTTAGTCCTCCTAGAAGCAAAATTCCATTGCCTTATCCACCGCCAAAGCCAAATACATAGCCGATAGATCATGTTGTGCTAAACTCTTTTAAAGGAAACAAACCCTGCAAAACTTTGGCTATACATTTTTTCAAGATTCCACTCCAATATGACAATGAGTGCCATTAAAATTGCAAACGACCATGTCCAACACTCAAGAATCAAACATATTAACATTCGCCACTACATCTTTAGAGATCATAAGACCAACGGAGATATTGTCCTCTCCCATGGGAGAACCGAAAGCCAATTGGCCAATATATTCACCAAGTCATTAGATGAGAAGAGGTTTTGTGAGCTCAATATCATGGATTCTCGTAACATTGCTTGAGGAGTGGTTGGATAACCAATAGCCAAACACAAATAATAAAATATGTAAATTAAAATTGAACTTCTATGTTTTGAGTACTCTTCTTGAGTAGAAGTTGGTCTTGATACCAGGAATAAAGTTCAAACATTCCCCCCTAATTCAAAAACCCTTTTTATCAAAAGTTTGTGAAAATTGTCATGTGCTCGTTTTTGTTGCAAAATCTTGGTCTTTATTCTCTTGGTTGTTGTGGGGTACACGGTACTCGGGTACCTCTTGTCGGGCTTTTGTGCCACATAGCACGGGGTGGGCCAAGTACTCTAGGCCTGTGCATCTTACTTGTAATCCAAGAAGGAAAGATTCTCGGGATAAAATATAAATCTCGAGAATCACACATATCTTTGATAGATAGAATAGGGAGATTTAGTTGCAACAAACTAGATACTTTCCTTGTAACCCTCCCCCTCATCCTATATAAGAGGGGGTAGGCGGCATCTCCTGGAGCCATCTCCATGACCCACAAACCCTAATCTAGGGTTACACTGGTGGAGAAACCATCTTTCATCGGTCGGCCGATTTCCACAATAGTCCCGGATGCAATAAAAACCGAGGCTAAAGATGATCTTTAGTCCCGGTTCAAAAGGGTAACGGGCATATTTGATCTTTAGTCCCTGTTGGTAACACCAACCGGGACTAAAGATCATCTTTAGTCCCGGTTCGAATGCTGTCAGGGCATGTCTGGCCCCCCCCCCCCCCGGGATCTTTAGTCCCGGTTGGTACCAACCGGGACTAAAGATCGTAACTTTAGTCCCGGTTGGTATTACCAACCGGGGCTAAAGATCCTAGTGATCTTTACCAACCGGGACTAAAGTCCCACCCCTATATATATGTCTTCTTCCTCCTCCAGCTGCCCGAGCAAGCTTCAAAATTTCTTCAAAATAGAGGGGAGGTCATGCCAAAATTTCTATTGAATTTATTTTGGTGATTACATACAAATCGGAGGTGCCTAAAAGGTTTGCAACTTCATCCTCCAATGTTTTTTTTTGTCATACTACATTTGCACCTATGTTTTGCACACTTTTTTTGTCTTCAAAATTTAGTTGTAAGTTGATGAGAGAGAAAATGTGTGTGGGGAAGAAAGAATATATAGAAATTTAGTTCATTTGCTAAACAAGGTTTTATAAAATAGTTGAGAAGGAAAACTCTAGTGAAAGTTAATCTTAAATAATAGAAAACAAACTAAAATGAAAATTAAAAGAAGTAAAACACATTAAAATTAGTTTAAAACTTTACAAATAGTTTTTAAGAATTATTTGGTGTAATATTTTATGATTTTTGTATGAATAAAGATATCTTATAATTATTGTATGACTGTCATTATTGTAAGAATAATTATTTGTGTACGGTTTTTTTTGACTCATGTAGATGGATAGGCAATGGATGTACGCTGACCGGCGGTCCAAAGAGTTTATTGACGGCGTGCACTATTTTTTGAGAGTGGCCGAAGCTAGCAGGCAAAGGGGTTTTATTTGTTGTCCCTGCAATAAGTGTAATAATCAGAAGGAGTATTCTGCATCCAGGACTATTCATTTCCACTTGTTTGAGTCGGGGTTCATGCCAAGCTATAATTGTTGGACATCCCACGGAGAGCAAGGTGTTGAAATGGAAGAAGATGAAGTGGAAGACGACAATATTCCGGACTTTGCTCAGTATGTTGGATTTGAAGAAAATCAAACGGACGAGGAGGAAATAGCTGCTGATGGTAACGACGTTGTGGATGATTTTGGTCAGATGTTGCGGGACGCTAGGGAGGACTGCGAAAGTGAAAAGAGGCCCATAAATTGGACAAGATGTTGGAGGATCACAGAACTTCGTTGTACCCAGGTTGCGAGCAGGGGCACAAAAAGTTGGATACCACTCTGGAGTTCTTGCAATGGAAGGCAAAAAATGGGGTTAGTGACAAGGCATTTGGCGATTTATTGAAACTCGTCAAGAACATTCTTCCGGGGGAAACAAAGTGCCCGAGACAACGTACGAGGCTAAGAAGATAGTCTGCCCGTTAGGACAGGAAGTTCATAAGATTCACGCATGTCCGAACGATTGTATCCTATATCGCGGTGAGGAGTATGAGAACCTAGAAGCATACCCTGTTTGCAAAGCACTACGATACAAGATTAGACGAGACGATCCAGGAGAAGTTGACGGGCAGCTAACAAAGAAGAGAATTCCTGCTAAGGTGATGTGGTATTTCCCTATAATACCACGGCTAAGGCGTTTGTTCAGGAACAAGGGGAATGCTAGAATGTTGCGATGGCACGCTAAAGAGCGTCAACAGGATGGGATGCTGAGACACCCCGCCGATGGTTCGCAGTGGCGAAACATCGACAGAAAATTTAAAGAATTTGGAAAGGACGCACGAAACATACGGTTTGGTTTGAGTACGGATGGCATGAATCCTTTTGGAGAGATGAGCAGCGGCCATAGCACTTGGCCCGTTACGATGTGTATCTACAACCTCCCCCCCTGGCTATGCATGAAGAGGAAGTACATAATGATGCCGATTATTATTCAAGGCCCCAAGCAACCTGGTAACGACATCGATGTGTACCTAAGACCACTGGTCGAAGATCTTAAACAGTTGTGGAAGAAGGAAGGTGTCCCCGTGTGGGACGAGGACAAACAGGAGGAGTTTAACCTACGAGCGCTGCTGTTCGTAACCATCAACGATTGGCCTGCACTTAGCAACCTATCCGGACAGTCCAACAAGGGGTACAAGGCTTGCACTCACTGTATGGATGAAACAGAAAGTACGTATCTTAAGCACTGTAGGAAGGTTGTATACATGGGTCATCGTCGATTCCTTGCAGCAAACCACCCGGTACGGAAGAAAGGCAAGCACTTCGAACATAAGGCCGACCACCGTACGAAGCCTAAACATCACAGCGGGAAAACAGTGTTTGCTATGGTTAAAGATCTTAAAGTAGTGTTCGGAAAGGGGCCTGGAAGCTAGCCTATAGAGAGCGAAGATGGTTACGTGGCGATGTGGAAAAAGAACTCTATATTTTGGGAGTTACCATATTGGGAATTCTTGGACGTACGCCACGCAATCGACGTGATGCACCTCACTAAGAACCTTTGCGTAAACCTTCTTGGCTTCCTAGGTGTATACGGAAAGTCGAAAGATACACTGGAAGCACGTAATGATCTGAAGCATATGGAACAACGTGGCGACCTTCACCCGGAACCAAAGGAGAAAGGAAGCCATTACTTGAGTCCAGCCAGCTACACTCTTAGCAAGGCAGAGAAGGAAAGTATGTTTGAATGCTTGGAGAGCATAAAGGTACTGTCTGGATACTCCACGAATATCAAGCGAATAATAAGCATGAAGGAGAAGAAGTTCACAAACCTAAAGTCTCATGACTGTCACGTGTTGATGACACAACTGCTACCAGTTGTAATAAGGGGTATCCTTCCAGACAATGTCCGGGCAACAATAACAAAGCTATGTGCATTCATGAACGCAATTTCGCAGAAGGTCATCGATCCGGATAGATTAGAAGCCCTTCAGAATGAAGTGGTGCAATGTCTTGTCAGTTTTGAGTTGATATTTCCACCTTCATTTTTCAATATAATGACGCATCTGCTTTGTCACCTTGTGAAAGAGATCCGTATTGTCGGGCCTCTGTACCTACACAACATGTTTCCTTTCGAGAGGTACATGGGCGTTCTGAAGAAGTATGTTCGTAACCGTGCTCGTCCAGAGGCAAGCATCGCCAAGGGTTATGGAACAGAGGAGGTCATCGAATTTTGCGTAGAATTTATCGAAGACCTTCGCCCAATCGGGGTACCTGAATCACGCCATGAAGGGAGACTACGGGGAAAGGGAACTCTAGGAAGGAAAGCAATAATGATGGTAGACAACAATTTATTCTGTAAAGCCCATTTCACTATTCTGCAACACTCTTCATTGGTAGCTCCTTACATCGAGGAGCACTTGGCTGTAGTTCGCGCCAGGAACATCGGTAAGTCCAATGCATGGATTACACGGCATCACATTGATACTTTCCCCACGTGGCTACGACAACATCTCATGGGCACGCCGGAGATCAACCAACAACTTGCCTTCCTGGCGAGGGGACCGTCTGGGTCGATCGCGACATTCCAGGGATATGAGATCAATGGGTACACATTCTACACGAGAGCCCAAGACATGAAGAGCGTGAACCAAAACAGCGCTGTTCGTGTCGATGCCATGGGACACGATGGA